ATGATAGCACAAATGTGATTTTGCTGGCCCTTCTACATGTGCTGCAACCCCAATTTCCTTCAAAGTCAAATCTTTATCCACATTTGGGCTCATGAAGATAGGCCATCCTGACATTATTTTTGAGGCATGTCTACAGTGGACAGCAGAAAATGGCACAAAAGTGAGCATTCCCACTGGCAATTGAAGTCCTGCTATGCCAAGTTCAACTGAAGCTGCTCTGCTGGCCCAAAATGCAGATATGCATGGGTGATGACATGTCACTTGGGATGATGTCTGATGAGACAATTAGACTCCTGTTCTTCGACTCTTGAGTCATGCTCTGATATTCTGAGGCCAAGGCAAATAAAGTCCCACAGAGATCTTGGCAAAAGTAGCGATTTCAGATCTTCCTCATGGTGCCCTTTCCATAAAATCTGTACACGATCTGTGGAATCAACAGCAGAACCTGGGCAGACCCTCTGAATCATCCTTTACTCTAATGCTGAAGCCTGGACCTCCTCTCTCTTTTCCCAAAGGAGGAGTCCTTTCTTTGGAGGCTTCCCTTCTTTGAGCAAGTGAATGCTGACCGCTTCAGCCCACATAAATATAAAAATGTCCAAATCTGTGAAGAACACATAGTTTCTCAGGTGCTTCTTTAGAGTTAATAATCAAAATAAAAGCAATAACTATTGCTAGTATTTATTTCACACTTAACATCTGCTAGGCACTGACCTAACTACTACCACCTGGGAAATTGAGGTTTGGAAAGTTTAAAAACTTGCCCAATCTTACAAGCGAGGACTTGAAGGAGTCAGCAGTTGAATGTTGACAGCTATACTCAGAGGCTATGCTCTTAACCAATACACTGTATTGTCTCTTATCCCAGAAGTAATTATAAAGTTTATAAAATTCTACCCTGTTGAATAGAAGGTAAAACAAAGAGCTATAGATGTTTATTCTTCCTTATTTTAGTCCAACATATTAATAATTTGTGTTTTATTTATTGCTGCATAACACATCACCACAAAATGTAGCAGCTTAAAACAATAAGCATTTATTACTTCTCTAAACTTTCTGAGGGTCAGGAATCTGGGAGCCACTTAGCTGGGTGGTTCTGGTTCAGTTTCTCATGAGGTTGCAGTCAAGCTGTTGGCTAGGGATGCAGTCATCTGAAGACTCAACTTGTGCCTGGCTGGCTCAGTAGAACACATGGCCCTTGATTTCAGGGTTTTAAGTTTGAGATCCACAGTGGGTATAGAGATTACTTAAAAATAGTATTTTTAAAAAATATATTTTATCTTTTTTTTAAGATTTTATTTATTTGGGATCCCTGGGTGGCGCAGCGGTTTAGCACCTGCCTTTGGCTCAGGGCGCGATCCTGGAGACCCGGGATCGAATCCCACGTCGGGCTCCCGGTGCATGGAGCCTGCTTCTCTCTCTGCCTCTGTCTCTCTCTCTCTGTGTGTGTGTGTGTGACTGTCGTAAATAAATAAAAATTTTTTTAAGAAAAGATTTTATTTATTTGACACACACACAGAGAGAGAGAGCGCACAAACTGGAGGAGCAGCAGAGGGAGAGGCAGGAGCCTTTCCTCTGAGTGGAGAGCCCATTGCAGGGCTCGATCCCAGGGCCCTGGGATCATGACCTGAACTGAAGGCAGACACTTAACTGCGTAACCAACTAAGCCACCCAGGCACCCCTTTAAAAATAAAACCTTAAAAAGAGAGAGAGAGACACTCAACAGATGCTGAAGTTGTTTCTAACAAGCTCACTCACATGTGGGACGGAGGGCTATGTTCCCCATTGGCTTGACAGTAGTCTTCATTTCTTATCACTGGCACCACCTGGGCCTCTTACTAATTATAGCTTGATGGTCCAAAAGAAAGAGAAGGAGGGGAGGGGAGAATGAGGACACAGATGAAACACTCAAGATGGAAATCTAGTAAAATGTGATCACTGAAGTGATGAAACATCACTTCTGCTCTTTGCTATCGGTCACAAAGACCAACTCTGTTAGAAAGTGGGTGAGGGGGATCCCTAGGTGGCGCAGCGGTTTGGCGCCTGCCTTTGGCCCAGGGCGCGATCCTGGAGGCCCAGGATCGAATCCCACATCGGGCTCCCGGTGCATGGAGCCTGCTTCTCCCTCTGCCTATGTCTCTGCCTCTCTCTCTGTGACTATCATAAATAAATAAAAATTAAAAAAAAAAAAAAGAAAGTGGGTGAGGCCTACGTGGGATATGAATACCAGGAGACAAGGATCACTGAGTGACAAGGATCATCTTGGAGACCAGCTACCATGTCTGGTAGCATTTTAACCCATTTAAACTAGGGTTCCAACCCTGAATCTGCTGCCATGTCAATCAGTTTTACTTTCTATTATTTCTAAAATAGGAACATCTTAAACTCAGAATTTTGAATATTGGAGGGCCTCAAATAACTGATTTTCTCAGAGTCTAAGTTCAATTTCTCTTTTAAAAGATGCAATTTCAACAATAACATTCAGATAGTATTCACTGCCCCACCTAGAACTGGAAGATGCTGCCACAGGTTGCTCTTTGCTTTGTGCACATGTACAGGACAAGCTGTTTTTGACAAAAGGTTTGTTTTTTTAAGATCTGCAACTTCTCCCATAACCTACTGAATTGTTTTCAAACCATTTCAGGAGTGTTTTCTGAAGTCCAACCAAAGTTTCTTAAACTAAGACCTTTTCACATTGTTTGGTCTGGACACAGGTCAGCATTCTTCTCATAGAAGCTTTCCTTTATTTTGAAATATTGAAACAATTTTGAGAATTGATTCAAGAAACAAGTTTATTTTCAAGAAGCTTGGTTTTCCTTTTTGGTTAGTTCCAGAAAAGGACTGTTACTTGAGATAAGATGTTAGAAAGGATTAAGTGTATTTCTGAAGGCATAGCCAGCCATCTTCTGAGGAATATTGAACAGTATATATAAACAAAACGACTAACACTCGTGTTAACATTTTTACCTTAATTTTTAAAAAATTCTATTATGTTTTTAATTCTATTATGTTTTAAGGAAATGTTTATATTTCCCTGCATAAAACATGCTGGCTTGCCCTTCTTTATTTTTATTTTCAATTTAGAATATAATCACTATTAAATAGTGCTTATCCAATAGGTCACATTTAAAAATGTATATTTAATTCTCCATCACTAAGCCGCTGTTATTACAAAAAGGAATATACTGCTAAATGTTAAACTTAGCAGCTCTAGTCCTTAAAGGCTTTAAAACAGTGCTGTCCAATAATATAGGCACTAAGGCTACAGAGCACTTAAAGTGTGGTTAAACCAAATTGAAACGTGCTATAAAATACAAGCTGGATTCTTAAGATTAGTGAAAATGAAAAGGATGTAAGATCAATAATTTTTATAGAATGCAAAATATCTCAATAATTTCTATATTGATTACATAATGAAATTATAGTGTTGGACATATTAAATATATTAGTAAAATAATTTCACCCACCCCCTTTTTTTTCCTTCTTAACAGGGCTGCCAGATAAAAATACAGGACATCTAGTTACGTCTGAATTTCCTATGTCCCTGCCTATGTTTTAATACTATAAAATTACTCTTTAACTGAAATTCAAATGTTAACTGGGTGTCTTATATTTTTTACTTGCCAAATCTGGTAACTTTATTAATATGACTACTAGACAAATTTAAATTACAAAGGTATACTAGTGGACAGCGAGGCTTTAGAATTATCTAGTTTTTCCGTTTTGTTTTTGCTTTGCCAACTATGGAGTTAACTGTGCAGAAATGCCTAATCTGAAAGAAACATTTAATCCTAGACTGGGATCGTCAATACTTGAAGTTAAATTTTTACATGTGTTTTAACAAGCTAAAGGCCAACAGAGGGGCCTGTCGCAGACCCAAGTTCTGAAAAGACATTTGGATTAGAATTAAAGGTCACTGCTCCCAGCCTCACCATTGGTGAGGACCCTGACCCCCTCTGCGGCCCCCTCCCGGCACCAGCCCCCCCAAGCTGTTCAGGGAGGACGGCAGGAGGCCAGCGGGGGGCCTGGCTAGTGTGCGCGAGGAGGACCCTCCACGTTGTACACGAAATGCTCTGTAGACACCGTGGAAAGCTTTGGAGATTGTTTCCTTCCCCCGAGTCTTTGTGATGCTTGTATAGTTGAGGATGCTCACAGTTTGTTTGTTTTTTTTTCTTTTTCTTCTGTTCTTTTTTCCTTTCATTCTTTTTCTTTCATTTCATTTTATTTTATTTTATTTTAGTCTGAAGGTTCTGGTAACCTGTGGTGTATTTTTTCCTATTTCCCTGTAACTTTTTTTCTTCTTCCTCCCCTTCACCTTATCCACGTGTCTTCCCACTATGCACAGATAAACTTCACCTACAAACTCCTTAATCTGATCTGTGGAGAATGTACAGTTTAAACACATCAATAAATACTTTAACTTCCAAAAAAAAAAAAAATTGGGGTAGTTAACAGTTCACCATTGGGGTAGTTAACAGTTCTGGTTTCAAAATAATCCGTGCCACTTTCACAAGGATGGGCTGTCAAGGGCAGGGACTTGGCAGCGAGACTCTGGGGCAGTCACCGTCCCGGTAGAAGGCTGGCAGGGGTGGGGGGACGGTATTTGTAATACTGGAGTCTCGCACCCGGCTCGTCCACGCATCCCCTCCCCCGGCTCCGCGCAGCGCCAGCGGCCTCGGCCTGAGACGCCGGGGGCTCCAGTCTCGCGGCCTTCCTACGCCGAGCCAGGGGAACCCCGGCCGTAAGCTCAGGGCTGGACCGGACCGGACGCCGACGGAACCCGGGTCAGCCGCCCCGCGCGAGCCCCAGGTGCGCCGCGGCCCGCCCCGCCCCCCGCCGTCACGCACAGCCCCGGCCCCGCCCCCGCCCGCGCCGCGCCGCGCCGCGCCGCGCAGCCCAGACCCAGAGCCCGCCCCGGCCTGCAGCTCTATGTAAGGCCGCGCGCTGGGGCGGCGGAAGCTCGCGAGCCCGCTCTCTCGGAAAGCGGTCTTTCAGCGGGTCCTTGTTTGGGTCGCCACGCCGGGGCACGGCGCGCACGCGCACACCGCGCACGCGCACACCGCGCACGCGCACGCACCCGCACGCGCACGCGCACGCCCCGCCTCTGCCTCCGCGCGGCGCCGCGTCCTTCGACCCCGGGCCGCGCGCCGCGGGCGGCTGAAGGCGGCAATGCGGGACTACGACGAGGTGACCACCTTCCTGGGCGAGTGGGGGCCCTTCCAGCGCCTCATCTTCTTCCTGCTCAGCGCCAGCATCATCCCCAACGGCTTCAACGGAATGTCAGTCGTGTTCCTGGCCGCCACCCCCGAGCACCGCTGCCGGGTGCCCGACGCCGCGAACCTGAGCCGCGCGTGGCGCAACCACAGTATCCCGCTGCGGCTGCAGGACGGCCGCGAGGTGCCGCACAGCTGCCGGCGCTACCGGCTCGCGGCGATCGCCAACTTCTCGGCGCTCGGGCTGGAGCCGGGGCGCGATGTGGACCTGGAGCAGCTGGAGCAGGAGAGCTGCCTGGATGGCTGGGAGTTCAGCCAGGACATCTACCTGTATACCATCGTGACCGAGGTGGGTACCAGCCCCCGCGCCGCGCCCGGAGCCCGGAGCCCGGGACGAGGGGAGGACCTCGGCCCTCCTCCCGAAAAGGTGCACGCTGCATGCTGTCCCTCTATCCCCAACACACTACACACGTCAAAGTGGACATCCTCCGAGCACCACTTTGCGAAGTGACTTCTAACCAGACCATGCCCTTCATAGCACGGGTGTCCTGCTGGCCACCTATCTTGATGGCCACCTCGAAGACGAACCCAGAAGGCCTTGGTGGCCCCTGGCAGATACTCCAAGACCCCGAATGATCAAAGACTTTTCCTAGCTGGAAGTGGGAGAGTTGAATGGAGCAGAGCCAGAGGTTGGGCTTCGGGGCTGTTACAGTTTTTCCTCTAGTCTCTTGGCATCTGTTCAGAGAGAGAGAGAGAGAGAGAAACACTTCTTGAAGAACTTTTAAAGCTAAAGGAAGCGTGTGTATAAAATTGTCACATGCTCCTTTCTCCAGTTACTCTTTCCTCACCCACCTTCCCCCAAAATAAGTCTGGGCATACCCTGTCAGGAATTGTTTTTTTGCTTATGGTTAGTTATCAGAATTTTAGGGTCCATGCATCTGAAGATCCGTTCAGGGTGACTTGTTGGTCTGGAATATTTTAGAGTATTCAAAGGCAATATCGGAGGCAGAGTTAATTAAAGCATACAACTTTTAGTTAATAGGAATTGTGTGTGTGGGGGGGATGGGAACTTCTCACTCCCCAACCCCTTGGATTTTCCTTTTGGAGTGGCTTCGTCTGTCCCCTGGTGACCCTGCAGCCATTAGAGCTAGATACATGGCGTGATGTTAATGGATGCATGTACTTGTGCTTTGTTTGCATCTTACTCAGATGCTAGAACCCTAAACTCCCCGGAGTCTCAGCAGAAATGAGCTAGCAGAGCAGTGAAAAGAATCCTCAGTAGGCACCATGGTGCCCAGTTTCTCTGGGTGTCAGGATCAGGGATTCACAAATTGGGAAAGCTTTCTGGAGGTGGCAGCCTCTCTGAGTCTGAGGTGTTTAGTTCTTCATATGCAAAGACTGGTACAGCAGGAAACAACCTAGAAGGAGGGCAGAGTTCACAGGGTAAGGGCCAAAGGGAAGGGCTCATAGGTCTTGGTATGGCTTCAAACCAAAGGGGCTGACCGGGGTCCTGAGCTCCCTCTTAATGTTTCTTCTGTAGGTGTCACCCTTCAAGGGAATCTAATCACTACTCTGAGACTCGGCTGGAGGGGAGGGTGGGGGTGGGATTAGAGCGCTCTCTCTCTCTCTCTCTCTCTCTCTCTCTCTCTCTGTGTGTGTGTGTGTTTGGATATCTGATGCCCCTAGCATCTGTGCCTCCCTTACTCCCACATATACATAGTAGGAGTGTGATCTGAGCCCCACTGGGATCTCTCAGCTAGTAACATCATGCCAGTGTCCTGAGGCATTGTTATGCCTCACAAGGCAGTCTGTCACACTCCTGGAAGCCAGTGAGAGTTGTGGAAACAGTGGTTGTCCCTCCGGTTGCTGGCAGAGGTCACCAAGGAGAAGCATACTTCATGACATGGAAGTCCCTGCAAATTCTGCTTCTGGCTGCACACGGAAGTGAGAGGCAGTGAAGTCAGAAGAAGCTCATGGCATCCTTGTGGGTTTTACCCTGACTTCTAGAGTCCCTTGGCTTACTCTCGTCATTTGCTCTTGCTTCACTGCCCCTGCCATCCTGTTTTGGGCTGAGTGAGGCTGGTGCTGAGCTCCCAAGAGCAACTCTAATGAAGGGGTCCTTGAACAGCGGCTACATTGCAGCCAGTGTCAGTTTTTCCTTTTTTGTATTTAGCCTATTTATTTAGCCATCTTAGCGGTTTCATAAGAGCTGTATGCCCTTTTACCTACTTACAGGTTGTCAGCCTTTGCAGGGAGGAGAGGTTAATACATTACTTAGCCTTTTGTTTGGGGATGCTGGAATGTCTGACTCTTAAGTCCAAGACTGCTTGTTTCTCCCAGATGAACAGTCACTGTTGCAAGTTACTGCATTAACATTCTGATTTTCTTTCAACACGGACCTAGCCTGCTGACCACTGCAACTAGTTCCAGGTCTGCTAAATGTTACAAGCCTGCCCTCTGCCCTGGATCCTACATAGAGGTGTTTATAAGTACATTGGTATTGAATTCTTTATTTATCAACAGAAGATGAGAACCATAGGTCTCCTGTTGATTTTTTTTTTCTTTGCTGAAGAATGTACATGTCGTACTAAACATTGTGGCAATTTTACATCTTTGCATCTCCCAGACATGCCGGATACAGACTGGGGTACTCTGGGAAATTTTTGTCGGATGTATTAATGAACAATTTAAGAAATTCTGTCTGAAGTTTAAGGGCTGAAGAAGGAAAGGACAGTTTCATTCACAGAAGGGAAACTGGGAGGTAGTCAAAAAGCATTGACTGAAATATTTTAAGAAAAATGTAATCCCCCAGCCCACAAACTGTGACTTGCCCCTATATGGATCTGCAACAAGGTTTTGGGATTGGTGGAAAGGATGGGACGCTATGAGGCGAAAAGGAATGTTTGGGGAAGAGTTTGGTGGTCCTCGTACTTCTAGGGTGGCCCCTTCCCCAGCCCCTCAGTCATGGCTGGAGTACTGGAGAATCAGCCAGCACTCCTTGCCATGCTGCTCCAATCCCTGAGAGCTTCTTGGCCCAGGACTTTCCCCTCCTCTGGAACCTGGTGATTTCTCAGGCTGTCCCAGCGTCCTGCTTTTAGATGTTTCCCTAGCCAGAAAGATTCTTTTAGAAACTTACAGCTCCCCTGGCACCCATGAGTTGAGGTCTCTTCATCAAAGACCTAGCAGTTGTCTCTGTCCCTTTGCTTCTGGCCTTTCTCTCCTTCTCTGAAGCCTCCTCCCACAGCCCATGGCAATACTTTGACTCCATTCCTTATTGTCCTGGAAAGCCTCTTTCTCTAGACTATCTTTTCTATCACTCTTATCTCTTGTATAGATCATCTTGGAAGATAGGAGAGCCCCCACTTTTATCTACAAGTCCTCCTGAAGGAAAAGCCTGGGAGGCAGGGCTGGGCTGACTCCTTGTGGAAAGACCTAGAGCTTGTGCTTCACTGCTGAGTTTTTGCCTACTGTGTCACTTGGGAAAACCCAGACCCTTAGCCTTGCCTTTGGAGCTTATGGCAAAGCCAGAGAAGTCACTTGCTGGGTTCCTGAGGTCCCTGTGCACACACAGTCATGGCAGACCCATCTGGCCACGAGAAGTCAGATTGACCTACGCTAGCTAGCGGAGAACAAACATTTTGGGTCAAAGTTCTTAGAGCTGACACAGGGAAGAGGGTGAAGGAGAAAAGAGAGAGAGAGAGAGAGAGAGAAAGAAAAGAAGGAAGGAAGGAAGGAAGGAAGGAAGGAAGGAAGGAAGGAAGGAAGGAAAGAAAGAAAAAGAAAGAAAGAAAGAAAGAAAGAAAGAAAGAAAGAAAGAAAGAAAGAAAGAAAGAAAGAAAAGAAAAGAAAAGAAAGAAAATATAATAAAATCTGTCCTAGAGATTGAAGTTCAGAGTTCATCTGGGTTTTGAGCAGCCAAGCCTAAGGTCAAGCCCAAAGGATACTAAACATTATGACAATTTTACATCTTTGCATCTCCCTGACATTATGCCAGATACAGACTGGGGTACTCTGGGACATTTTTGTCAAATGTATTAATGAACAATTTAAGAAATGCTGTCTGAAGTTAAAGAGCTGAATAAGGAAAGGACAGTTTCATTCACAGAAGGGAAACTAGGTGTTGAAAGTTAACAGCCCTTTTATTCCTCTCTTCCTTCCCTCACTTTTGTACAAAATAGCCTCTCCTCTGCAGGGCACTGCCAAGCATTATAGAGGATATAGCAGCAAATTCTTTGTCTCCTTGCCTTGACGACTTTGGGACAAGGATCTGCCATTAACTGCAGCAGGAGGCAGGACAAAATGTGTGTAGGAATACATGACATTCAGTAACAGGCGATGCTTACCTGGGTGTTTGACCATTGATGCGGTCAGGCTAGGTACATCTCAGGGAAGAGCTTCTGCCCTATGGGCACAGACCCTATCTTTTTTCCCTTCCAGCCAATTTATAAGTAAGAACATTTAGTCCCAGGGAGCTACATCATCCCTCTATTTCCCATAACTGAGAAGCAGCTCTAATTATATGGTGTGTACAAGAGACACGGTTCTCTCTCTTCTTAAAAATGTTAACAGCTTTATTGAGGTATAACTGACATAAAATAAATGGCACATAAGTAAAGTGTGCGATTTGTAGTTTTTTTTTAAAGGGTTCTTTTTTTTTTTTTTAAGATTTTATTTATTTATTCATGATAGTCACAGAGAGAGAGAGAGAGAGGCAGAGACACAGGCAGAGGGACAAGTAGGCTCCATGCAGGGAGCCCGACGTGGGATTTGATCCCGGGTCTCCAGGAGCGTGCCCTGGGCCAAAGGCAGGCGCTAAACCGCTGCGCCACCCAGGGATCCCAAAGTGTGCGATTTGAAAAGCTTTGAGAGAGAGAGAGAGAGATCTGTGAAAGTATCACCACTAGACAGACACATTTCTGACCAGGAAGGATAGCAAGTTTAGGCCCTTGCCAGAGTGGCTCCCAGACTTTTTTCATATTGTGCCCACTTTCACAGCTCACTCAGCTGAGGGGTCACAATGCTAGATGCATGACTTGAATCTTAAACCCACATATTTGGTTCTAACTTTAAGACTTGTTATCATTAGCCAGTACAGCCCATCCCACGTATCAAGTGGAAGCATCAGTGAGCTAGTTTGTAGCTGCTTTAGTCACAGCTGGGGAGCCAGGAGTTCAGTATAGCAACACTAGATTTCTTTGGAAATGCAACAAGCCTTGGGTGCATGGCCTGGACTCTGAGATTCTCATCCTGCCCCTCTTAAGGAGGATGCAAACCAAGTCCTAGCCCCATTGCAATCCATGTGGTGGTTGACAGGTAAGTGAACGGGTTGGGTGGATAGGATCTGATCCGTACCTGCTCTTGTGTTTATTTTTTGAGACCAATTATGTCTTCTGGCCCTACCCATAGGCTCTCTATGTATGGCCAGTGGGAAGGAAGTCTTAATTCATGCTTGCTTCTGGAGGGCTAAAACCAGATCCTGAGGATTGTTAAGAACCATCAGTGGTGGGATGCCTGGGTGGCACAATTGGTTAAGCTTCTGACTCTTGATTTCTGCTCAGGTCATGATCTCAGGGTCGTGAGATTGAGCCCATGTTGGGCTCTGCGCTGGGCATGGAGCCTGCTTAAGATCCATTCTCTTCCTCTCCTTCTGGCACTCCCCCTCACTGTCAAACACAAACAAACAAAACTGATCGTCAGTGGTAGATAGAGAGCCCAGTTACTCCAGGGAGTTACACATTTGCCCAGAGTAAGGACAGGCTGGACCAAGTGGCTGGGTTGAGGCTGCAGGCCCTAGAAAGATGCTCTTTCTTTTTTTCTTTCTATCTATCTATCTATCTATCATCTATCTATCTATCTATCCCAAGATGACTGTGACAGATACCTTGTCTGCTGCAAAGCATAGTCTGACCTGGTTTCGGGTGCACCTGTCCTTATCAGCTCAGAATTCCCTACCAGCCTGTATTGGGGGATCTGACATTATCAGTGGAGAGGACTGTAGAAACCCCTGTGGATATGTAGTCTAGCTCAGCCTTATGGAATCCCCATCCCTTAGAGTCTTGATGAGAAGCAGCCACTGACTCTTCAGTTTTTCATCTCTGTTGCTGCAAAAGTTAACACATGCTGGCTAGAAATAGATCCCATCATAGAAGCAGTGGTAGCTATAATCTGGCTCCTGAAACTCTGCCTAATACTTTATCTAACACCCAGAGGCCTGCACCCCATCACCAAGTCCCCTAGCTCTGACTCCCTGGCCACTCCTGTCCTAAATTTAGCAGTCATGTCTGTATGGGGGCTGCCCGAGGAGCACTGACCCTTCTAGAAGAGAGATGGTACCTAGGTGCTAGAACCACTGAGGCTGCAGAGGTGGGAGGGCTGCTATAGCCTGAGTATTCAGGTGCTCCAATATTCTGGCCTCCTGCTAATTAGAACTTTCTCCAGATATGAGTTTGAAATCCCTACCTCTTCCTTGGTATAGGGATCCCCATAGCATTCTCATGCCATCCAAGGTGAATGTTTATTCCAGAGTGAAGAGCCAGCTGTGCAACTAAGTGATCCTTATTAGCTACGGGAGTTTTTCATGCCCACCCTGGAGACTGCTTCTTACCCCCTCTGGGGTGCCTGGAGGTTGTGTGCATACACTGCCCAGCAGGGAAGCAGACTTGTTTTTCCCTCTGTCACTGACCTGGAAGAAATGCTTTCTTGGAAGCCATGCACTCCCCCTGTTTGTTACTCGGGAGCCAACAAGCTCCACAGAGTGTAGGTCAGCAGCCTGGCACCAGGTGGGCCAGGGTCTGAATTCCCTGAAGGGCAGCCTTCTCGTGATTACTGAGCACTATCTCTCTGTGCTAGGAAACATTTTTCTGGGAACCACCAAGCTTCTTGTTTTGGCTTTTCTTCCCTTTTTTTAGCTCCTTGTTTGGCTAAGGCAACCCAGAGTCTGAATGTTCAGCTGCTTCCCCATGCTTGCAGACTTCTTTTCTTGGGAATTGTGGATAGAACTGCACATTGGGAGCTGGGAAACTCAAGTAGTACGGCCTGTTCTGGACCCCAACCCCTATTTTACACATGAAGAAGAAGGCAAAATGGGGGGATAATTTTGACTGACACTGGATAACCAGCTAACTGTAGAGGCTAAATCCAATTTCTTGACTTCCACCTCAGAACTCTTGGCTGTAATTGGGCCTGGTGTTATTGGCACAGCATCAGGGATCCCAGCTGTAAATGTCATCTGAGTGTCCCAGCGCTCATTGGCTCAGAGGGGGGGGCTCAACAGAGCTGCAAGAACAGATCTAGAAGGTACATCCCAGGCCTTGTGGCCTCAGTCCCTTGCTGGATGCCTTGACCCTTAGAGCCCCAGAACCCTGCTCTAGAACCACTCCTGTGCCATTCCTGTCAATGGCCTGAACCCCACTGAAAGGATCCCCTGCCCCATCCACATCTGGCTCCCCCCAGATTCTTAGAAGCAGCCATGAAAGGCCTCACTTCCTGGATTGACACATGGGCACCGTACTTGCTCCCTATCTATCCTCTCTCCTCAAATTGGTCACAAAACCATGGAGCTGAAAGGTATGAAAACCAGAATGAGAGGGGACCTACTCTCCCTGTGAGGGGGAACCTCTCTGCTTTGCTGTCCAGGCAAGCCTTTGCCTGCCTGAATGAGCTCATGCACCCATTTAATACTGCAAACAGAGCCTGCAGGGATAGGGAACATTCTCATTTCATTTTCTAAGAGGCCTTAAATTTAAAACGTTTAACAAAAGAAGTGAGTGATGCATCTCTTTGCTCCCCTTACAGTGGAACCTGGTGTGTGAGGACGACTGGAAGGCCCCACTCACGATCTCCTTGTTTTTCGTGGGTGTGCTGGTGGGCTCCTTCATTTCGGGGCAGCTCTCAGACAGGTAAGGTGGGTGTCTATCTGCTGCAGCTGCAGGGGACCATGGCACTGAGTAAGGAGCATATATGTGCCTGGCTCTTAACTTGAGATGGTAGTGTTCTCTCAGCCCAGGAGGAAGAAGCTGTGTCTATACTTTAGACTTCATACCAAGTAAAGAAGAGAGCCAATAACCTCTTCTCCCTCATTCTTGCTGAATATAACAACCTGAGCTAAGTGTATCCATGATCTAGTTGACCAGAAAGTATGCCATGATTCACTTCTTGTACCAGTCTAGCTGGCCTTCCCCAGGTAACTCTTTCATATCCCCGACCATGGGAGATGTAGACACTACACACACATGCAGAGAAGATCTTCAGGTGTACAATGAATGGCTACCTCTGTATTCCCCAACCATCATTCTCTCTGCATGATGAGAGGAGATCTCACTAGACAGTAGTGGCTGTAGTGGCATAAAGGCAGAACTCTTGTGTTCATAGGGCTGATACCCCTTAGCTAAGATACCTATGGTTCTAGCACATACTTCGCAACAAGAAGGACATGTGCTCTTTTGACCTATAGCAGGTCATTTATGTAATTCCAAGGCATTTAACTCAAGTTCCATTCATAGCTTAAGGAGTTCATCTATTCTTGAAATTATTTGCAAAATTTTTTTTTAATTTTTATTTATTTATGATAGTCACAGAGAGAGAGAGAGAGGCAGAGACACAGGCAGAGGGAGAAGCAGGCTCCATGCACCAGGAGCCCGACATGGGATTCGATCCCGGGTCTCCAGGATCACGCCCTGGGCCAAAGGCAGGCGCCAAACCGCTGTGCCACCCAGGGATCCCTTATTTGCAAAATTTTAGAGATTATATATGAGCATTTTTTTCTGAATAAAGGCCCATAGTTTCCATAAAGTTCTCAGAGGGCTCAATTACATCATATCTTCCTACCACAGGGCTCCAGGGTCTGTTGGAGAAGTCCACACTGAGAAGAATAGCCTTCACCAAGGTTCTTGGCCATACTGTATCACCTGGTGGAGTCCCAGCATCCTCCTGGCTGGTTGGGGTCTAATAGAAAAGTTCAGGATGAGAATGTCATCCTACTTTAAGAACAAATTTTATTATCCCATAGCACAAACTCAGGTGATGTCCTGGCACGTTTACACCCATAGATTGTCTTTACCTAAGAATCTGTTCCTCATGAGAAATATGTGCACTTCTCACAGATTTGTGTTTCCCAAGTGTATCTAGCCTTGAAAAAGGGAAATATTCTTGCAGTCACCAGTGAGCATTAAAGAGCCAAGTAGCCATGACCACTGATTGACAGTTCTAGACAAGACTGAGACACATGCCTTTTTGGGAGAAAGACCTTTGCTTCCTGAGATCTTTAATATAACAGCAAGCATCAGTTGATTGCTTATATTTGTCTAATAAATGCACAGCACCTAATATGTGCCAGCCACTCTTATCAGCACTGTACAAATTTAAAAGAAAGAAAAATAATCCCATCACAACCCTGTGAAGTAGGAAGTATTATTACTCTCATTTTATAGATGAAGAAAATGAAACCCAGAGGAGTTAAATCACTCACACAGTCACAAAGCCAGCAAGTGGCAGTGGTAGGATTTAGGCCCAAAGAGTCTTGACCCTCTGTTTTGTGTGGACTACTGTTCTCAGGCCATGCTTTTCTAGAACTTGCCTTCTAGCAAGACAGAATGTATTAAACAACTAATTGAGTGGTATACTCATCCTTTGTGGTGTAAGCAATACAGAGAAGTAGAGGATGCTAAGAGAAGGTCTGACAGGAGGCCCAGAGAAGGTGAAGCATGTGCTGGGAGTGGAAAGAGGAATAGAAATTAACCAGTGATAAAGAGATGGAGAGAGGAAGGAGCATTGTGGGCAAAAAGAGATGTACTTTAGAGAGTCAGGAAGAAGCTGCACACTTTAAGAACTGGAATAAAGTCCTCTCTGGTGAAGGTATGGAGAGTGGTATAAAGAGGAAGCAGTGAGGCAGGGGGAGGCCCAAGCAGAAGAGCAGACCAGGCTTAGCTGATGACATTTAGATTTAGAAGTTTGAGTTTTCGTCACAGAACAGTGGGGAGCTATTGAGAGTTTGTGCAGCATAATCAGATATGTATTTTTTTTTTAAAGATTTTATTTATTTGTTCATGAGAGACACAGAGAAAGGCAGAGACAGACAGAGGGAGAAGCAGGCTCCCTGTGGGAAACCTGATGTGGGACTCCATCCCAGAACCCTAGAATCACACCCTGAACCAAAGGCAGATGCTCAACCACTGAGCCACCCAGGCATCGTTGTGTGTGCTTTTCTCAGCATTCTCCAACTACACCCATGACCCTCCTTGACCATGAAGGCTAACTTGGGGTCCCTGGTTTATACTACCCTGGTTCCTTGTGCCTTTTTTTTTCATAGCACCTATCAGATATTGGTAAATAAGAGATGTTATCATGATTAATTTTGGTCTCCTCCACTATACGGTGAATATTATCAAAAGCTTGGTTCCTCTTGCCTATTCCCCCTTGTCAGTCATAACTTCTTTAAGCCTCATCTCAGTGTCCTGTCATCAGGGAGACCTTCCCTGAATGCCCACGTCCCGAAGCCCTCTTCCCAGGCCAGGATAGGTTCCTGGTGAGCCTGAGTGCTGGTCCTTCAGCACACTTATGTCAGTGTGTGATTGCACATTCAGTAGGGTAGTTGTTGGATTAGAATAGGATTCCTGTCTATCTCACCAACTATAGCTATAAGCTCCTTGAGGGTAGAAATGAGAGTTTTGTTCTGTTTTTTATACTTCAGCTGTATCCCTAGTGCCTAGTATAAAATTGATTTCAAATAAACATTCATTGAATGAAAATGGGTGGCAGCCAGTACTGGCCAGACTCCAGCTGAACCTGCTAGGTTGAGTGAAGTACATTGACTCGTTCCTCCCTGACTGTGACACTGTCTTTAAAATGGAATAAACCCATCAAAAAACCAACATTGAAAAACATTTTTCAAAGGAACACAGGTTTTCCAACACAGGAAAACCACGCAGAGCAAATGTGTGGGTTGATGAATTATTCCAAGGAAATAACCTTGTAACTACCACCAAGTCAAGAAATAGAATCTTGCTGGCCACCAAGGAGCCCCTGTGCACATCTCATCCCAAATATCACAGCCTCCCTCCTCCATAAGTAACCACCAACCTGGCTTTCATAGTAATCACTTCCTGTGGGGTTTTTGTAGTTTTATCATCCAGATGTGTATCCTTAAAAACAAGTTGAGTCTAGCCCACTTAAAAATTTTTGAGATGTTTTTGAGGGATTATGGGATTCTCCCTCTGTGCTTTTTGTGGCCATACGTTTTATCTTTTGCACCCAGGCCTATAGAATTTCCCAGTCTGGATTTTGATGGTTGCATACTCATGGTGCAGTTCAGCATATTCCTCCTCTGACTGCATTTCTTGCAAATTGGTGGCTGGATCTAGAGACTTCATCAGATCTAAGTTCATACCCTTTAGCAAGAGTAGGAATCATGCTAATTCAATTACCTCTTCATAAAATGACTGTCAGCAGTCGCTGAAACATAATGCCCATTTTCTGAGAATTATAAGATGATGATATTCTAACTTTATCCTTCTTTTTCATTTAACAGTTCGAATACTTTTATAAAATGATATTTTCCTTCATTATTAGTTCTTGTTGACATACTTTACATAGGAATTTCAGGACAAATGTTTCCTTTATCAGTCTTCATTTAAAATAACCCATTTTTCCATCATCCTCCATAGTAAACATGTTATTTTTTTATTTTTTTAAAAGATTTCATTTTTTTGTTCATGAGAGACAGAGAGAGAGAGAGAGAGAGGCAGAGACACAGGCAGAAGGAGAAGCAGGCTCCCTATAGGGAGCCTGATGTGGGACTCGATCCCAGGACTCCAGGATCATGCCCTGGGCCAAAGGCAGGCACTAAACTGCTGAGCCACCCAGGGATCCCACAAGTTATTTTTTTTAAAAAGCCATATGAGGGCACCTGGGTGGGTCAAATGGTTAAGTGCCTTTGGCTCATGTCATGATCCCAGGGTCCTGGGATCAAGCCCTGCGTCAGGCTCCCTGCTCAGCCAGGGAGCTTGCTTCTCCCTCTCCCTCTGCTACTTCTGCTTGGGCTTTCTTTCTGTCAAATAAATAAATTAAATCTTTCTTTTTAAAAGATAAAAACCATTATGAACGTATGGATTTCAGCATAATGAATGTATTTCAGTCCTTTGTAATCATTATCGTTAATTCTGGCACTGCCTTGACGGCTCCTGGTACCTGGGCTACATGGTGATCCGGCCGGAGGTGGGGGGGGGGGCGGTAGCGGGTTGGAGACCAGGACTGTCTATGTCCCATACCCTGGTAGTACTGTCCATGACCGATCCCTGAATGGCTCCAGGAAAAATCCCTCTTGGTGGGGCCCATTTTGGCCACCTTCTCACTGGATCTCTGTTACTCTCTTTCCCCTCCCAGGTTTGGCCGGAAGAATGTGCTCTTCGTGACCATGGGCATGCAGACAGGCTTCAGCTTCCTGCAGATTTTCTCAAAGAACTTTGAGATGTTTACTGTGCTTTTTGTCCTTGTGGGCATGGGCCAGATCTCCAACTATGTGGCAGCATTTGTCCTGGGTATGACCCTCTAGTCGGAGTTGAGTACTTGATCCTGTGTTTCACCATCACCCCACCACCCACTCTCTAGAGACAGCTGCGGTGTCCCTCAAGGGGAAATGGTCTCTAGTAGCACCAACCAGGGCTGTGCAGTGAACCCTATGTGCCTGGCCTTGAGTCTCCAGGAGCACAACAGCCTGAATGCTGAATTCCAGTGCTTTTCTGGTCTCAGAGATGTGGCCCTTGGTCTCATTAGTATTCAGTAACCATCTTACCAGAACTCAGCCAAGATCATCCATAAAAAAACAGGGCCCCCAAAAAAACAAAAAAAAAAAAACAGGGCCCTTCCCAGAGCTGAGGTTGCTAAGGAGAGTTAGAGATGTGATATGAGGAGCAAGGGCCATGAATGAAAGCTACCTCTTCTGCAAGGCATGGTGTCCAGTGAAACTGATTGGAGAGAACAAATTGATATGAATGGACTTGAGTGTCTCAAGATCTTCAGAGTTTCAATTCCAAGTACATACCATGGGGCTTTGGCCTGTTCTCACTGAAGAGTCACCAGTCTCACTGGAGGAATCTAACTCTAGCTTATTGGGCCTTAGCGTATGTTGAAAGGATTATTTCTTTCTCTTCACATTAAATAGAATAATCTTTTCTTAAAAATATTTCCTTAAGCCCATGTGAGTCTTTCATTGTGACTTCCACTTTAATAAATGCTTCCTCACGTGAGGCTTATATTTTGAGGCCTCATGTGGCATCTTTAGCATATGGCTTGGGGAAGTAATGAAATTTTCAAGGCAGGACTGTCCCTGGGAAGCCTAAGAGGTCACAGTGGGGCACCCCCAACAGGTGGTCAGACTGCAGCAGGTTCAAAATCCCATCCCTCTCTAAGGCGTGGCTGCTTTTTTGTATGTTTAAAATTATACAAGAGAAGATTAATAAGGAAATGACCTAAATTAAAGGACTGACATAACTCCTTCCTTGTTTCAAACAGGAACAGAAATTCTTGGCAAATCGGTTCGTATTATATTCTCTACATTAGGAGTGTGCATATTTTATGCATTTGGCTACATGCTGCTGCCACTATTTGCCTACTTCATCAGAGACTGGCGGATGCTGCTGCTGGCACTGACGCTGCCAGGGGTGCTATGTGCAGCTCTCTGGTGGTGAGTTTCGCCTGTGCCCCCGGGGTGCCTACCAGCAGATGTCTTCTGTTCAGCCTTCACCAGGGGGCAGCAGCAAGCCACAAATCCCTATTTGGGCTCCTGGAGACAGGAAGTATAAATTATTTGTAAATAATTTATAAATTATAATTTGTATATTATATAAATATAAAGTATAAATAACTTGTAAATTATTTGTTTCAGAATCTTTTCTCTACACTCAGAACAGCCAAGAAAACAAAACAAAACAAAATCCCCAGACGTCAACAGACTTGTTCTCAGTCCTGTGTTAGGCTTGATCGAAGTGCAGGAAAAGGAAGAAGTAGTAGCTGAGAGATGATGAGGTCTAGCATGACCTTCAGGAAGTTATCAGACTGACAAGACAGCCTAGGCCCTGGTTCGGGCTGTGTGTTGCTGAGGCCTCATGCCACAGGCACAAGAAGAGGGAGAGCCCTAGAAGTGAGAGTCCCCAGGGTGGCTACATGGAGGAAGCCAGGCTCCATATGGGCCTCTGAGATCGAGGAGTTAGGCAGGCAGAGAAGGCCTTCCTGACTGAGAGAGGGAACACAATAGAGGGGCTGAGACGGGAATCGAACCTTGCAGGTAGGTCTGGTGAGATCACTGCTCCCCTCAGAGCTGAGAGCATTTCAGAGCATGATGGGAGAGGACACAGAGCACAGCATGGGTCTTGGTCATGACCAAAGGGCAGGGGCCATCTAGTGAGGTAGAAAATAAGATCCACAAAGTTTCAAAGTCCTAGGTGCTTTGGTAAACATAGGTGGGGTGCCTGACAGGTCACTCGGATGGATCAGGGCTGGAGAATGAGAAAAAAATACAGGTTAAGAAGCCAGTGCAGAAGCTTCTGTTGATCCTGGGAACAAGAGCAAACAACGGGACTAGGGGCTGGGCTGCTCTGGGCTGTGCCAGAGGCAAGAAGCTAGGCTTCAGGACCCCATCTTGTGGCTGTTTCTTCAGTGTCCAGCAGGTGGCACCACTGCTCTTCAGAAGTGGAGGTGACCAGCCTGAAGAATCCCATCCTGGTGTGCTGGCCGCTCTAAATTTTGTGCACTCTAGGGTTCTCAGAAGCTTAACATTAGGTCATTAGTGGGTATGGTATGAACCATCTCTTTGCTTGGTCCAGAAACACCAGACATTCCCCCAACCCAACTCTGGTTCTAAAACCCCATTTCCCATCTGCACATATGCTATACCTGGTCCCTTGGGCAGGATGGTCTCAGTGAGATGGCTCCTTGTACTTCCAGGTTCATCCCGGAGTCCCCCCGGTGGCTCATCTCCCAGGGGCGATTGAAAGAGGCAGAGGTGATTATCCGCAAGGCTGCCAAAATGAACGGGATTGTTGCACCCTCAACTATCTTCGACTCAAGTGAGGTAAGTGCTACATAGGAGCTAGTGGAAAGGTCTCATTGACCATGATTTTAGGGCAGAACCATGCAGGAGCCCAGCCCTCCTCCTCCCTGGGCCTGAGCTGCCATGAAGCAGGCCCTGTTCAAATTCACACATTGAGGAGAAGGCACCAACTGTCTCAATCTCTTCTCCTTTCCTGTGGGTTTTAGGTTATATTTTATATGATTCTTTTCTAGGCAATCATACCTAGAAACCATCATAAACCATTAATTTGAATAACACTCTGAGTAATAAACCTTTTGTGAAGTTGGCATTGTGGGAAATCATTGTTTCTTATGTCTAATATAGTTTCTCATCTTGAAGTATTTTTTTTTAAGATTTTATTTATTGGGAGAGAAAGCAAGAGCTAGAACAGGAGCGGTGGGGGAGTGGTAGCGAGAGAGGGAGAAGCAGACTCCCTACTGAGCACAGAGCCCAACGTGGGGCTGGATCCCACGACCCTGAGATCATGACCTGAGCCAAAGGCAGACACTTAACCCACTGAGACACCCAGGCACCCCTTAAAAGAAATACAGTGTGTAAAATATGAAGCAGAAGTAGATTTGGAGTTAGAAATGTTCAGTCTCTTTCCACCCACCAATCATTAGTTGTTGCATGTCATCTTGCGGCCTGGTCCTTCTTGATATCAGCCTCTTCCCTCTACACCACCCCTCTTGCAAACCCTGTTCTCATGCACCGTGAGTAATTTCCTGGCTCTGCCTGATTCCTGGGTCTTGCTTCTCCTTCCTGTTCCCTCTCCCTCCACCCTCGGCAGCAGGCAGTTTTGCTTAGTCTCATGACTACCACAAGAGGTCAGAAGTTGTAATTGCTGGCTGATGGGGTTCTGGAATGTGTCTCTGATCTGATGGGAAGACAAGGGACCTGCTGTGAGATCAGCCAGGAGCGGTCAGACTGAGGCGTGTGCAGAAGGAACATGAGAGTTGCTCAGGACTCGGGATGCAGATCCAGAGAACAGTTACTGTGGGCATCAGGGAAATCCTGGCCTGAGAGTTAAGTGCTGGCCCAGTACCAGCTCCCGCTTAACATGTACTGGTAAGGGCTCTAGATCATGGCTGTCTAGGTGGGAGGAGATGGCAGGGCAGGCTTTTAAGTATGGTGGCCTTGGTGGCTTTTCAGTGGAGGTGAATCCAGAAGCCCCACTGGCATCTTTGAGGAAATGAGGCTATTTCAGGGGCTCCATTAAAGTCAAGAGTTGACCTTTTGTTGAACTGCTAACTTGAGAAAAACAAACTCCAAAGCTGAGTTTGCTTAAGAAAGCAACATCAGTGTATTTAGACGTGTGGTTTATTAATGTCCTTGGCTGTGCCAAATTTCATAGGAAGTTACTCTGGGTGAAGCTGAGGTCAATTTTCCTGTTTTTCTATCTGAATTTTTTTTTTCCCCTGGAAGTAGACCAGTAACTACATGGTATGAGAACTCAAAGCAGAAATTCTTTTAAAATATCAGATCAATAAACTACACAGCCAGTTTCTCTCTCTGACCCAGAGGGCAGGGAGCCAGCCTTGGGAAGGAATGCTCAGAGTCCTCCCTGGAACGTGGCCACTGATGGAGCCTGGGGGTGAGGCCGAGAGGGAACTGTCAGTGTGGGCCTCGGCCTTGGCTGCATCCCCTGAGGGACTGGTCACCTACCTTTCCTTCTCATTCTCCTTCCCTAATGGGTCATTGACAAGGCCTCGGGGAGCCTTCCATAGCTCAAGATACACTCACTGTATTTACTGTTCTTTTCAAGGAAGAAATATAAAATACTCACCAACTCATAGATGCAGAAAGCTCAGGTGCTAGGGTTTGGGGTATATTATTGGATCTCTGAGTCTCCAGCCTCTCCCTCCTGTACCTGTGTCATATCGTTCATGCAGCTGGAAGACCTGAGTTCTAAGAAGCAGCAGTCCCATAGCATCCTGGATCTGCTTCGAACCCGGAATATCCGCATAGTCACCGTCATGTCCATAATTCTGTGGTGCGTAAGTGGGACCTACCTGAAGCTTCCAGACAAAGCTTCTGGCAGTGGCTGCTAGGCCTCTCCTTTGCAGACATGTCTCAGACCAAAACTGAAAGCCTGTGTCGTCAGAAAGTGGAAAGGATCTGCCTTGCAGTGGAAGAAGTGGGCATATTATAATTCTGAGATTGATAGAATCTCAGAAAAGGAGTATGAAATCTGTTGGGGGGATTTTGAGGAAGCTGTAGACTCTTTGGGGAATCCCTCCAGATCCTGGGGCAGATGCTTGCTCACTGTGAGCCCTGGTTTGTTTCTGCCCCCCTGTGCCTCAGATAGTGACTGAAGAGGAGAGGGGAGCCTTTAAGAGGATCTAAGTGTGGGGATCCCTCGGTGGCTTAGCAGTTTAGCACTTGCCTTCAGCCCAGGGCATGATCCTGGAGTCCTGGGGTTGAGTCCTGCATTAGGCTCCCTGCATGGAGCCTGCTTCTCTCTCTGCCTGTGTCTCTGCCTCTCTCTCTCTCTCTCTCTCTCTCTCTCTCTCTCTCTCTCTCTCTCTCTTTCTCTGTGTGTGTCTCTCATGAATAAATAAATAAAATCTTTAAGAAATAAAAAAAAGGATCTAAGTGAAAACATTATGTCCTTTCCATTACAGAGACTGCTAAGTACTGTCTGGAAATGTGGAAGCAGGACATCCTCCCTCTGGGATGTTCAGAGACTGCCCTGGAGGCAGGGCCATGGTCTAGATGGCCTCTTCGGGCTCCTTCTAATGAGGCATCTCGCCAAGTGTGTCAGAAAGGCATTTGTGAGTTACCAGAGAGAGGGGCCACAGCCTAGTGCCTCAGTAGGCTTTGCTCAGCAACCAGACCCTTGGGATTATAGACCAATACCTGAGCCTGCTGGCAGACTTCATCTCCCGGCCCTTATTACAAGTGTCATCCAGCTTTGGGGCCGCCAGCTGTTTTGCTCTCTGAGGGATACTATGAGTCACCAATTTCCAGGGAATGGCCCAGGATCCCTCAGGGCAGTGCACCACCCCTGTGTTGGCCTCAGACAGGACCAACATTCAACCTGCACCACAGACTTGAAAGTCTGTGATGAGTCACCAGTTCTGTGGTTCACCCAGGTGCTCCTCGGGCTCTTATTTCCCAGAGACTCCTGGGCCTTCCCTTTTCCCCTAATTGTACCATCTATGGTTCCAACATGCAGATGAGTTAAAAGCATTCTACTCCATAAAGGTCTGGTTTGCCAGAGAGTGCCAGTCATCAGCAGAGAGAATGTCTAGTAGGGACAGGTCCTCTGGGACACCAGGAAGTATGCAGATGGGAGATGATGTGGGCTCACCATCGGAAGTTCCTCCTCTTCTCATACGTACAGTAGGATTGGGATCTGCCACTTCTGTCCAGCTTCCTCCTGGCCGGTTGCCACAGACAGAAGGTCTGCCAGGGGGTCTTTCTCCAAATGTCTGACCTAACAATTGGTCCCTATTTCATCTTATTCCTCCGGTCCTGTAACACCCCACTTGATACGGGCCTCCTTGTTCATTCCCTCCCTCCTTCTGCAGTTGCAGGATTTGGGGAGGGTTAGAGGGTAGGGAAGTAGCTTTTGTGAGGACTTCAACTTCGGGTTTTTAATGCTGAAAGGCAGGTTGAAGGCTGTTCCTGGGTTTTTTTGGGTTATTGGTTGTTTTTTGTTTGTTTGTTTTTGTTTTTTTCCCAAAAAAGTAAATCCATCTAAACTATCATAAGCCTTTTTGCTGGGACACTTTCTGTTTGGAATGCTCTGATGTTGCTCTGGCCCAGAGTTAACATTGGGTGGGGAGGAAATTATCTTTTGTTCTAAGAGGGAAGACACGGGGTTAAATCTGCTGTTTTGAATTTTCCACACTAACTGTATCTTAAAAATTGGGTTGGGAGCACATGGCTGCTGCTTCTCCAGCTTTCCCCTGCACTCTGTTTCAGGATGACCATATCAGTAGGCTATTTCGGGCTCTCCCTTGACACTCCTAACTTACATGGGGACGTCTATGTGAACTGCTTCCTTTCGGCAGTGGTTGAAGTCCCTGCGTACGTGCTGGCCTGGCTGCTGCTACAGCACGTGCCCCGGCGCTATTCCATGGCCACAGCCCTCTTCCTGGGCGGCAGTGTACTTCTCTTCGTGCAGCTGGTGCCCCCAGGTAGGGACCCTGTGCATCCGCGGTCAAGGTTTTTGCTGAGTCACACATTCTCTACCAGGCTGTCTCCCCCAATAAAACCATGCTATGACAGCTCACTTGCATATCTGCATCCTTCACCAAAAAAAAACAAAAACAAAAAAATCAAGAGAAAGTGTCTCCTGGGACCAGCACTGGTCATGGCCAGGGCTTTGGGGGAGTGGTGAGAGCAACCATATGAGGCTGGTGGTTAATGTTACTCTCTGCCCAAGTTCATGAGTGCATATGTGTTTTTCTCTGCAGAGTAAGGGGAAGGAAAGAGAGCCAACACCATAACTATTTAACCTGGCCCTATCTTAGTCATTTATTTATTCAGCAAGTGGATCCAAGTGCCTCTCCGGGCTAGGCTCTGTGCTTGGGGCATAAAGTAATGAAGCAGAAGTAAACAGACAGAACCCCAGGTCTTTCTGGAGCTCACGCTATAGTTGAGAAAACAACAAACAAGTGAATAAAATTCTTAATGTGCTACAGACTGGGTTACCTTCTATGATAACAGTAAAGGACGATGGAGAACTAGTTTATATAGAATGGTCATGGGCAACAGCCCCGAAGAGGTGGCAGTCAAGCAGAAATGTAGAAGAAGTATCAGGGAAAGCCACGAAGAGGTCTCAAGGCAGAACGTTTCAGGCCAAAAAAACAGCAGAGGTGGAGACTTTGTGGTGATCATTTGTGGGCCATTGCAGCCTGGCAGGGGAGTTTGTCAGTGTCCATACATAGAGGTTCACTCAGAGTCTCATTGGCACAGCAAGCAAGGTAGGTTGGAGGGTCATTCCTAGGGGTCTGCTAGCCTAGGAATTGTTGAGGTCTGATTAGACACAAAACTGGAAAAGAGTTAGAACGTAATTATCATTCATCCACAGGCCTGTTGTTAATCCCACAGTGTGCACAGAGTGCAGTTCTGGGTGCCACCTGACCCCTTGACAGGCATGTCCTCAATGGTTTGTGGCCTGGAGCAGCTCTACTTGGACTATTGAAGGGCTCACGTTGGTGGTCTCTAGGCTGAGGAGAAGAGCATGTCCTCACACAGCTGCAGGTCCCGGCTACTGTCCTCTCAGTAATGAACTTGGAGGGACAGCTTGACTACAGCCACTTATCCCACAGTAGGACATCAGAGAAACCATCCCTCATATCCTCTAAAGGAGAAAGTATGTTCGCTTCGGGCACCCCCTGATGGCTGCATAGCCTTCTTGAATTGGTGCCTTCTATTTACTTTCTTCCCTTTGCCTCTCCAGATTTGTATTACTTGGCCACTGTCCTGGTGATGGTGGGCAAGTTTGGAGTTACTGCTGCCTTCTCCATGGTTTACGTGTACACAGCCGAGCTGTACCCTACCGTGGTCAGAAACATGGGCGTGGGTGTCAGCTCCACAGCATCCCGCCTGGGCAGCATTCTGTCTCCCTACTTTGTCTACCTTGGTGAGTCCCATGGGCTGAGGGCATGTTGGCACAGTGGGGTGCAAGCACTGATTGCCCTTAAAGGGAGCCATGGTGGGTTGTTAACAGCAAAGCCAGCACACACAGCAAACAAGATCTATCCAGTACCAGGTCTGTGCTTAGAGAAGGCATTTGTCCAGGTGCACTGTGGAGGAAGCACTCCCTTGCAAATGGAAAACCACCTATAGACAAGCTAGAAATCCATGAGATAAGCAAGCAGAGAGTTTTGTTTCTGTCTTAACCATCCCAGGCCTTCCATCAGAAGATACAGTTTCCTTTTCCTAAGAAACTTCATGGTGGTATAGGGAGCCGATGGACTTAATTGGAGAAATTTCTTCTTGGAATCAGAGTATAAAAGGAACATGGAGGGGATCCCTGGGTGGTGCAGCGGTTTGGCGCCTGCCTTTGGCCCAGGGCGTGATCCTGGAGACCCGGGATCGAATCCCACGTCGAGCTCCCGGTGCATGGAGCCTGCTTCTCCCTCTGCCTGTGTCTCTGCCTCTCTCTCTCTCTCTCTCTCTCTCTCTCTGTATGACTATCATAAATAAATAATAAAAAAAATTTTAAAAAAAGGAACATGGAGAGAGAGGGCCATTCAAGAGGTCCAGTGGACAGAGATTTATTGTAATTTGGAGCACTTTGGTTTTACACTGTGTATAGATCTGCCTTGAGTCATGTTTATGCCTTAAAATTACTTGCTCATGGCAGCTGCTATTCCCTGGCACATTCTCTAGCCAGCATATCTTTGGAGAGGGTTGGCAGCCACCTTGAGAGGACCCAGTACGTATTGTGAACGTACTACATGGATCTGACAAGCAGAAACACCTTATCTAGCCTAAAGGCAAATCGAGCAAGTTGTGACACATCTGGAGAGGTGGAGGAGTTAATTAGTCCCTGGATGAGAACCTTTAGTTCTGTGGAAACCCAGCATTGAGAAATAGGAATAGTAATCACGGCTTGGCCCCCTTCTCCTGGCCTGCATCCCTTCCCTGCCCTGTGAGGCCCTGCTGGACCTCTGGGCATCTCTGTGCCAATGGGGTTCTAAGACCTGTCCAGGTACCAGATTCTAGTCGGGCAGCTTGGACCATGGGAGATGCAGAGGCCTAGGAGGCATGTGGTCCCCTTTAGAGTCTTGGGAGCACAATGGGAGAGAGGGAGACCGAGTCTGACGACATCCCTGGCTTGGGGTTCTGTCTGCTTTGCCATAGGTGCCTATGACCGCTTCCTGCCCTACATTCTCATGGGGAGTCTGACCATCCTGACAGCCATTCTGACCTTGTTCCTCCCAGAGAGCTTTGGCAGCCCCCTCCCGGACACCATTGACCAGATGCTAAGGGTCAAGGGGTAAGGTTGCCCTGGGTTGCAGTGTTGATTGATGCACTGGATCTGGGCCTGGCTGAGAGTTACCCACAGACTCTCACAGACACCATGGACTAGTTTCACCATCAAAGGGTTGGAAACGGCAAGGTGCTTATAAACCATGTCTAGTCTGACCCAGACCACTATGTCACCATGTATGTCTCTACCACTACAGCAGCCTAGGACAGCAGAGACCAGGAGAATCCTTTCAGAATCTTCTGTTAAGATTGCTTTTTTCCCTTAGTAAGATAACCCTCAGTTCTGGGTTTTGTTTGTTTAGAGACTGGTAGACATCTTTTTAAAGATTGGTTCCTAACATTGGTTTTGCTTGTTTTTACAGAATAAAATACAGGCAAACTCCAGGCCACACAAGGATGTTAAAAGACAGTGAAGAAAGCTCCATAGTCCTTAAAAGCACAGCCTTATAACACGACCTCCAGGGCATGAGAAGGTGAGGAGGGAAGACTGTGTCTCGTAAAAAATATCTTGTGTAGACACTGGGTCCCTGAGTGGTGGAGGGCTTTGCCATTCATCCTGTTGACCTCGTGTTTGACTTGCTCATGGCTAGATACCCAGCCTCAGAGGCTGTACGGGGCCGTGGCACGCTACCTTCCCTCCAGACCGACAACTTGAGCTGCATCCTAACTTACGGACCTGGCAGATGGTGGATTGGCACTCCCTAAGAAGTGAACGCTTCACCAGAACCAGTGGGACCTCGAAGAAATAGGAGAGGCACCTACTAAATTTACCTTTTAATTTCAGACCTCCTGAAAAGAGTGGAGGCCTAATCTCCCCTCCTGACCTTCTCCCCATTTCCCTCTGATGGTGCACTTAGACAAAAAGAAAGAATTGCACAAGGAGTTTGATTTCTCACACTTTCTTGGTCTCAAGGGATAGTAATGGGGATCCTTTTTCTTCAGGCAGGAGGAGAGCACGGATCTGGGGAAAGCTATGGGTGGTAAATATGAAGGGAATTGAGCAGATAGAGACATAGGCAGGTGCACTGATTTGTGAGCTCTCATACCCCTCGGTGCGACTCCTGAGTAGACTTGTTTACATCTGATCCAAGCCCTGGGCTTGTCTGGGCGTATATGAGATGCATCACAGAATCTACTCTTCTTGTTTTCCACCACTGTGTAAGTCAAATCTCCTAGCTTCTGTGGTTTCTGACGTATGGTTCGAAGGAAGTCTATCAGTGAGAGAGACAAGCAAACTCATCTCTTCTCTCAAACTATGATGTAGAATTTACTTTTGTGTTTTGTTTGTTGTTTGTTGTGATGTCTTTTCTTCTTAAGTTATTTGACCTTCAGAGTAGACTTAGAAAAGGCTGGTTCCTCAGCCTGCTGGTTGGTGTCTTTTGTTTTTGTTTTTGTTTTTTTTTTCAACCCAGAATTACTCTGGCAAAGGTCTGCAGTTGCCATTCGTGCATGGCCTTATCAGCCTCAGCCACTAGCACTTCTCTGAGTGCCAAAAATGACGTCATTGTATGTGTTCCTTTTGTGATACCTAATCATGGGAAAGAAATTACAAAGAAGAAAGTCAGATTGTGTTCACAGTCTTTCAGGGTTCCTCACTTCAGTCGCGTAATATTGGGAGATATTTTGTGTTCTGTGTAACTGTCTTTTATGATTATGTTACCATGGTACTCCTAAAGTATATGCTTTACCTGGATAAAAACCATATTTTTGTGAAAACTACTGAAGTGCCTTGGGAAATGAAGACGTTTTAATAAATAAAATGATTTTTTAAATAATAGCAACTGCCTCCAGCCTTTATTTCCACAATTTGGTGAGTCATGCCACAGCATTGTCTGTGTGAACTTGGGCTAATTCTAGCCATGATTGGTGATGAGTGCGTGCCTAAGGATAAGATTTAATCCCTATATGCTAGAAACCTTCATGCCATTAATGACTATGGACAGAGCCAGCCTCCTTACACATGTGTCTTAGCCTGGGTTCCCCTGAAAGCAGGGCCTGAGACCCCTGCTTCAGTGTAGTTACGTAGTGTATTTGGGAACAAGATTCCAGGGAGCAGGATTAAGGATGGGAGAGGAAATAAGGAAAGATGGAAACTCAACACAAGGATGCACTGTCTGTGCCAAGGGCATTGCCCCAGCCAGCCACAACTTCTGAGGAGCCTTATGAAATATATCTTAGAATCCTCTGATCTGCCCCATGGATAAAAGGGGAAAGCATTTATGTGTTGGCCCCCTTTCCTCATTCATCAAAGGCAGTCCCACAGGAGTCACCTCCCCACATTTCTAGGTTACACCTGTGTGAGTTCCGAGCAGGATCCTCCCCCTGGGTAGAAAGCAAGAGGTGATATATGGCAGACCCAAGGTGAGGCACTGTCAGATTGTGCTTCTGTGAAGGTGATCAAAGCTTGTGTGAACTGGTTACTGCAACAGTGGCTGGAGTAAGTGGTGAGTCTGGGAAGACTATGGTTTGGACACAGTCCACAATACCTGTGTATATAAAATGTGCCACAAGGCGACTTGAGCTAGAACATGTAGATAGACTTGGGTAAAAAGCTCCAGTGTTGGACAGGTAACTCAAAAGGCCTGTTTTATAATATAACACGCAGTATCAAACTCAGATATGAAGGAAGGCAGCTCATCTTCTGTAGCCCTGTTGGCTTCTCTACTCTCCTCAAACCTGGTTCTGTGCCAGGTTCCTAATTAAATGGCTTCACGGTGACTCCAGAATATAAATATGGTCCTGCCTGCCCTTTTCTTGTTGCATGAGTGAACAGTGTCTGAGTTTTCTCTCTTATTCTCAGTGCTGATTCCAACCATTTGTGACCTTCTGTGGGTCAAAATCATAATTACCTGAATGCGTAGAGCTCTTCTTTTGGCAAGGCAATAAGTAGCTCATGTCACTGCTTCTGGGGCTGAGCCAAGTATCTGAAAATCGAAGCCCTCTGTCTGGGCCCCCTGGGCTTGTTTCTATCAGAGCCACACCTTTGGGAAGACTAACCTGGTCAGGTTATCCTGACCAGGGATATCCTTACAGGGAAAGGGGTGCATAACCTGTAGTCACAGGGAAAGTTGGTGCTCAGTTAATACCCATAAGAATTAGAAACCTGGATACCCATAGAAATACAAAGGGCAAAGCAAATGAAGTGACGGAACAATTCAGATTTTAAAAGTATTGTTTTCTGCCACAATTAAAGATGAAAACAAGAGTATACCCTATGATCTTTTCCTATCCTGGCAACTAATTCCTGTCTCCATCAGGGTTCCCTAAACACTCTCATGAATTCCAGAAGGGCTGGTATTTGCCAAAGAGAATTATTCTACTTAACACCTAGTCTAACTGATGGTGAATGGGTTGGGCAAAGGGCCCTGTTCTCTGTCAAGTAGTAAGTAGCCCAACAAATCTTTCCCCTAGGTGTTTTACCATCGAATTGCTTTTCCTAAAGGGCTTTTCAGCTGACAGAGGCTGGATGCAACACAGTATTAGCAATAATATCTGTTGTGTGTGCCATTGTTATATAAGTAGGTTGGAAAAATACAGGCCTATCTCATTTTATTGCACTTCATTCTGTTGTGTTTTTTGCAAATTGAAGGTTCAGGATGTTAGTAGAGAAGTCATTGCACATGTGGTGGAAAGAGCAAGAGAACTAGAATTAGGGATGGAACCTGAAAGTGTAACTGAATTGCTCCCATCTCACATTAAAATGGAAAAGGAGTTGCTTCCTGTGGATGAATAGAGAATGTGGTTTTTTGAGATGGAATCTACTCCTTGTGGAGATGCTGTGAAGATTGTTGAAATAACAACAAAAGGATTTAGAATGTGATTTAAATGTAGTTGATCAAGCAGCACCAAGGTTTGAGAGGACCTCAAGGACTGACTCCAGTTTCAAAAGAAGTTCTACTGGGATCCCTGGGTGGCGCAGCGGTTTAGCGCCTGCCTTTGGCCCAGGGCGCGATCCTGGAGACCCGGGATCGAATCCCACGTCGGGCTCCCGGTGCATGGAGCCTGCTTCTCTCTCTGCCTCTCTCTCTCTCTCTCTCTCTCTCTCTCTGTGACTATCATAAATAAATAAAAATTAAAAAAAATTAAAAAAAAAAAACAAAAAAACAAAAGTTCTACTCTGGGTAAAATGCTATCAAGCAGCATCACATGCTACAGAGAGATAGTATGGAAAGGTAGAGGCATTCAACGTGGCAGGCTTCATTGTTGTCCTATTTTAAGAAATTGCCACAGCCCCCAACGTACAGCAACTTCCACAATCAGTTAGCTGTCATCAACATCGAGCAAGAGGCTCCAACCAACAAAAATCTTGCCACTGGCTGAAAGTTCAAATGATGGTTAGCATTTTTTTAGTGATGAAGTATTTTTAAATTAAGGTGTGTACATTGGGTTTTTTTACATATAATTCTATAGCACACTTAATAGACTATAGCATAAACATAGCTTTTATACACACCAAGAAACCAAAAAGTTAATTTGACTTGGTTTTTTGGTGACATTTGCTTTATTGTAGAGGCCGGGACCTAACCTGCAGTATCTCCAAGGTATGCTTATTCACTTATTTGCTCATTGGATCCTTATACAAATCCCATGAGATTGGTAAAGGATCCCCAGGGTGATAAAACCACCAGAAGTCACATGTCTTCCTGGAATCTCAGACAGACCTACCCTGGAAGGTCTTACCTTGGGAGGAAGGGATTTAACTCAAGAACAGTTGTATAAGAAGCTGCCAGACACTGGAACATCATCTTTCTGCTGGAGCAGCCAGAGGGCAGCAGTCAGGCACCTGACCAGCTCTTTTTACCTCTGAAGAAGTCTCACATGAGAAACTCTTCTCATGAATGTGTAGAAGTGTGGGCATAGAATGCACACATCAAGGACACGGTGCTAAGTGCATGCAGAGGTATGAGTATTTCACAGAGCCGGTGTCCTGAAGAGATCTGAAATTTTTAATTATCATGTAACCTTTGATCATTTAAAAAATTCCAAAAGTCCTCATAGAACTATGCTCCCCTATACCAATCAAATGAGTATAAAAAAGTACAAACCTATAAAATGTTTTCACCAGCATTAAACAAGCATGCAGCATGATGTAATACATACACTTTAAAAATTGGTGAAAGAGGGCAGCCCTGGTGGCTCAGTGGTTTAGCGCCGTCTTCAGCCTGGGATGTGATCCTGGAGACCCGGGATCAAGTCCCACATCGGGCTTCCAGTATGGAGCCTGCTTCTCCATCTGCCTGTGTCTCTGCCTCTCTCTCTCTGTGTGTCTCTATGAATAAATAAAATCTTTTTTAAAATTGGTGAAAGAGAAGATTCTAACACTGTATGTTAGAACATTCTATGTACATGCTAGCAATGAAATACAACCCAATGACCCCTAAAGTCTTTAGCCATAATGAAAAGTCATCAACATCAGGAGCAACCTCCCTAAGACTCCCAAATCAGGGTAAAAGCAGACTGGATGAAGGCCTTTATTTATTTCCCTCTTCAAAGATATTTGGAAACCACTATAGAAAACAGATGAAATGGAGAAAATGGACAATGGGCTAATCACCAAAAGAAGTGAGACCTGCCCTATAAGAAATGTTCAAGAGAGTCCTTCAGCTGAAATGATACTAGACAGCAGCCCAAATCCACATGAAGGAATAAAGCACATGGATAAAGGAAACAACCGAAGTAAATATAAAAGACAGTTAATTAATGAAAGTGAGGAAATTACTGCCAACCTTCCAGAAATAATAAGGATTATAAGAGAACACTATAAACATTTGTGTACCAACAAATTAGACAACCTAGAGGAACCGGACAAATTCCTAGAAACACATACAAGTTCCCATAACTGACTCAGGAAGAAACAGAAAATCTGAACAGACTTATAAGTAAAGATATTGAATTAATAATCCAAAACTTCCAAAATAATCAAAAGCCTCCCAAAATAACAAAAAACCTCCAAAACCTCCCCAAAACCTCCCTTCCTGACTCATTCTGTGAGGCCAGCATTACCCTGAGACCAAACCCAGACAAAGACACCAAAAGAAAAGGGAACTATATAGATCAATATCCCTTATGAACATAGATGTGAAATATTCCATAAAAATAGCAAACTAAGTTCAGCAGCATACTAAGAGGACTATATATTGTGACCTAGTAGGATTTATCCCAGGAACACAAATGTAGTTCAATTTTAAAATATTAATAATGTAATACAACATGTGAATTGAATGAATTTAAATAAAGATTATATCAACTAATGCAGAAAATCATTTGACAACATTCAACACACTTTTATGATAAAAAACACTCAATGAGGGGATCCCTGGGTGGCTCAGCGGTTTGGCGCCTGCCTTTGGCCCCGGGGCGTGATCCTGGAGTCCCAGGATCGAGTCCCACATCGGGCTCCCTGCATGGAGCCTGCTTCCTCTCTGCCTGTGTCTCTGCCTCTCCCTGTGTCTCTCATTAATAAATAAATAAAATCTTAAAAAAAAAAAAACAACACTCAATGAACTAGAAATAGAAGGGGATTTCCTCAACATGATAAATGGCATCTATGAAAACACCACAGCAATTAGGCAAGAAAAAGAAAGAAAATGTATCCAAGTTGAGAATTAAGAAGTAAAGCTACAGTAATCAAAACAGTGTGGTATTGGCAGAATGACAGATCAATGAAACAGAATAGAGTCCAGAAGTAAACCTTCACAGATATAGTCAAAAAAGACGATTGTCAAAAAAGATAATTTGCAAAAATCAGCCAAGACCATTCTAGGGGAAAGGACAGTC